CTGGAGGGTGGGGAGGAGTGTGGAGCTGGAGGGTGGGGAGGAGTGGAGCTGGAGGGTGGGGAGGAGTGGAGCTGGAGGGTGGGGAGGAGTGCTGTGAAATGCCATGTTCTGGACCTGATGTGGCTGGTGCCCTCACAAATACACAGAAGCTGTAATTAGCTATGAAAACTTACACAAGATCAGGCCAGCCAAAATTTCAGTCTCGATGAAGAAGTAACTCCTGAGAAACCTCCCCTAACTTAGGAGCTGTTGGCAGGTGACAGCGGCTGACAGGAGGAGAACCATTCTGTGGGGCGAGACTACTGACAGGTTACCCACATTCCAGGAGATGGCCCTACATCCATGCACACATGAACAGCACTGAATGGGCTATTAAAAAAGAAGACATGAAGCTGAGAGGCAGCTATGGAAGGGTGCGTTATGATCACAGTTGATCATACGCATACACATACATAATTCTCAAAGAATAAACAATAGTGTTTCAGTTCCTGAGATCCAAAACTATTTAAGGAAACAAAACGAGTTTCAAAGATTTCAATTCCTGATTATAGAAAAAAATTATATTGTTATTTTTATTCTTGGAAGACCACAAAACTTTAAAGTGTTGGAAGTTAGATTTTTGGACTGGAGATGAAAGACCCCAGACCCTGAAGGGCCACAGGATCCTGAGAAGCCCCCAAGACTCAGAAACCAAACCAAGAGCTGCAAAAGGAAGAGAGAGTTTATTGAATGAATGCTCATCCGGGGGTCAGCAATACCGGGAAAGCTGCACACCCTAGCAAGGGTTATAGGCTCCTTTTATAGGGAAAAACCACAAATCAGCATACATGCATGGGGTACAAAGTGATTGATTACAAAGTGATTGATTACAAAGTGATTGATTACAAAGTGATTGATTACAAAGCAAATGATTACAAAGTATGATTTCATATTAATGAGGTCACCCAGGTGTGACCTGGTTTTCTACAAAGGAAAAAACCACAGAATGTACTCTGGAGAGTCCTTGATTGTCTGTTGGCCAGCAAGGTGTGACCCAAAGAGGGTTGTCTTGGCGATTGCCCCTGTCTAAACCATAGAATGTTCCCGGGGTTGGGGCCAACTTCCTTGTAATGGGCCAAGGCCTATGGGAAACTTTTCTCTTTGTGAACTAAAATCTTTCAGAGAGAGCTCTCTGTGGGTCAGGGAACTTGCTGTTTTTGCAAAGCATCTGAGTTTGGTTCCTAGCACACCTGTTGGGCAGCTCATAACCTCCTGTAATGTCAGCTCCAGGGGATCCTATGTCCTCTACTGACATATAACACACACAGACACACATTCACGTAAGTAAAAATCAAAGTAAATCTTTAAAAATTAATTTCATTAAGTAGGAGAAGGATATTCTTGGGTCATGTTTCAATGTGTTGTGTTTTGTGAGTTTGTTTTGTCATATTTTTATATATGCTGGGATTAGGAAATGTCCACACCGAAAGCTGTCCATCTATTACTTCATATGAAATGCATGGATGCCACTCTAACCAGCATTTTTCGTTTTTTGCAGTATACTCCTGACCATGTAGCTGGGCCTGGAGCAAACATAGACCCCACACAAATAACCTTTCCTGGGTGTGCTTGCGTCAAAACTCCATGTCTCCCAGGCACTTGCTCCTGTCTCCGCCATGAGAATAACTATGATGACAATCTGTGCCTCAGGGACATAGGATTGGAAGCAAAGTATGCCAAACCAGTTTTTGAATGCAATGTCCTCTGCCCGTGTGGTGAGCACTGCAGAAACAGGGTGGTTCAGAATGGTCTGCAGTTCCATCTCCAGGTATTCCAAACGGATAAGAAGGGCTGGGGACTACAGACCTTGGAATCTATACCCAAGGGGAGATTCGTCTGTGAGTATGCTGGCGAGATTTTAGGATTCTCTGAAGTACAGAGAAGAATTCACCTACAAACAACACATGACCCAAATTATATCATCGCCGTTAGGGAGCACATTTATAATGGACAGGTCATGGAAACTTTTGTCGACCCTACCTACATAGGAAATATTGGGAGATTCCTGAATCATTCCTGCGAACCAAACCTGTTGATGATTCCCGTCCGAATTGACTCAATGGTGCCTAAACTGGCACTTTTTGCAGCCAAAGATATTTTGCAGGGAGAAGAACTCTCTTATGACTATTCAGGAAGATTCCTTAATCAAATAAGCAGTAACGACAAAGAAAGGATAGACCATGGACAACTAAGAAAGCCTTGTTACTGTGGAGCCCCATCATGCTCCACCTCCCTGCCCTATGACAGTTCACTCTACTGCCCCTTAGAAAAACCACACACCAGTTAAGAACTAGTTGAGACTCCTGTCTGCCAGCCTCTCTGAAGACTGAAACCAGAGAGAATCAAGCATTAAGTCACTCATCTGCATCCTAGTTGCTCTCCCGAAAACGACCTACTCTCAAGGGAAGTGTACCTTGCAGTCAGCAGCTTGCTTATTCCTGTAAGAAAGACTAGGGGTTGCCCAGCCTTCCCTCTGCCAGGCTGCCTAAATTTGACTCAAGAATGAGGCCCAGACTGTAAACATCCAGCTGTACCCTTTCTCCAGAATACTTGCTTTAATAGTTAGATGCAGGTAAATGACTGTGTTCAAACTAGCAGGATACACGCAGAAATGATGAATCCTTGGGTATCATCCTTGGGTTTCTTCTTGGAAGCCAGAACCGATACTTGATGGCTGGAGTTAGGAAAGGGTCGTGCAGAGAAAATCAGTAAGATTTCTGGTACTGTAGAAGACACTGCTAGTCCTGACCTGTTGCCCCTGTACTTGTAGGGGAGAAGCCTATAACATTAAGCCACTGTTGCCTTGCATTTGAGAAAACCTTATGATTCAAGAAGACCTCAGCCTTCAAAGCTAGTTTTATAATAAAGCTGTTTGGGTTTTTTTTTTTTTTTTTCTGTCTGTTTGACTCCTGATTTTATTTCTTGTTTGTTTCTAATCATGAATTAAGGAGAAAGGATGTTATCACCTGCTAAAACCTAATAATCACCAACAATAATGAAGTACAACCGTGAGAATAATTGCCATTTATAATCAGGTCAGAAAAGGAAGCCTGTTGTAAAGTTTTGACTACACTCTTGGCTGTGTCCCAGAGCTTATGAAGTTAGGCTTCAAAACCTCAAACAACCTCACTCCTTCATTTATTAATAACATAAAAATAACCATGTCAACATCACAGAAGCAGATGGGAGTTGTATAACTTCATTAAACTTCTAGAGGAACACAGGCCTCTGACTGCCTTTCTTAAAACATGATATTATAAAAACATAGTTAACTACAGTCTAGGGACTAGAACTCATGGATGGAGCTCGTATCTAGCCCTCCCTATGTACAACATAAATAAGTAAGAAGACAGCTGTTTTGAAACTCAGATTAATTCTACATATAGTCTGTGAAAATTAAATATCTTAAAAGGTAATTATTCAATCATGTATATTATTAGTAAAAAGAAATTGATTTCTAGAGTACATATAAACCATACTACAAGGAGGCTTTGTGCTTTTAAAAGATTTATATTCTTTACAACATCCCATTGTAGTGAAAAAAATCTAAGTATTTAGTTGTCCATCAGAAACAAGGGAACTGTATGTGAATTATCTCAGTAAACATGACTATATCGGAGTTCTTGTTCTCATAACATCAGAAATTACTCCCTGGGTACAAGACAGTAGTTTATACATAAAATGTCCCAAGTTACAAAGGTATGATGTCAAAATTTTCCTCCCATGAATTATTTCTCCCTACCAACTTTTCTGTTACTTTGATTTCTCTGAAATCTCTGACTTAATTTGTGAAAATCAGCTTGTATCATTCACTCCAAAATGGCTGTTTTCCTTATACTGTTGCTAAAGAACCCAAGCTACATGAGAAGCAAGAAGGAAATCCCTGGGAGAAAATGTCTGGCTCACTGGTTGAGATGCTCTTTGGTGTTTTTCATCCACCCTCTATTGAACATCTCCATCTTGATTCAGGAATAGTCACAGAGGACAGTCTGCTTGGAGATACCTTAGCCCCCACCACCTTGGTACTTCAGCCATAGAGAAAACGGAATACAAAGAGACACTGGAGGGTGTGTGTGTGTGTGTCTTTGTCGTAGTTACTTTTCTGTTGCTGTGATAAAACACTGTGACTGAGGCAACAAATAAAAGAAAGTGTTTAATTGGGCTTATGGTTCCAATTAGAGTCCATGATGGCAAAGGCATGCCAGCCAGAAGAGCTGAGAGCTCTCATCTTGATCCATAAGTACAGACAGAACTAACTGGGAATGGTGCAAGTCTTTGAAACCTCAAAGCCCACCCCCAATGACACACTTCCTCCAACAAGGACACACCTCCTAATCTTTCCCTAACAGTTCCACCAACAGTGAGCCAAGTATTCAAATGTATGAACCCATGAGAGTCATTCTCACTTAAACCAACCATCACATCCTTGTGCACTTTCTTATTCTTAAATAAAACAAAGTCCTGAAAAATCATATTCTTAAGATTAAATTTGAAGTCTTTCTTAATCACCAAGTTAACTGTGTTTCCTTTGTTTTCTTAACATTACCATGGGGGCTGCAAAGATATCTCGGTGATTAAAGCACTGGCTGCTCTTGGAGAGGACCTAGGTCTACTTCCCAGTTCACACATAGCCGCTCACAACTGTCTGGTACTCCAGTTGCAGGGGATTTGATGCCTCTTCTGGCCTCCCTGGGCACATGATAACCTCAGGTATGTGTGTGGTCACATACATACATTGTAAGCAAAACATGTGATACACAAAAAGTAAATTATTTTTCAAAAAAAAATGCTGATGCTTCTACCTTTCAGAGAACATATTTTGAAGCATACTTCTGGTTGACTACTATGCTAAAAAATAATGTATTTCTCACTATGCCTCACATGCTATAATCAAGATGGCTCTTCCCTTCTGTGATCTTCCTAAGTCCCGTCACCCCACTCTAGCCATGAGAAAGAAAGTAATATAAATGCAATAAAAGCAGCAGTCTATAAAAGTTTTGACATAACTCCTCAAAAAACGTCAAGGTCATCAAAGACAAAGAATGTCAGAATGGGAGAAATGGCTCGGTAATTAAAAGCACTGGCTGCTCTTCCAAAGGACCTGGGTTCAAGCCCAGCATCCACATGGTATCTCACCATCGCCTGAACTCCAGTTCCAGAGTATCCAGTGCCCTTTTCTGGCCTCCATGGACAACATACAAATGTGGTACACTTACATACCTGCAGAAAAAATACCCAAAATTACAAAAAAATAATATGTAAGTCAGAAACAGCCACAGCCAAGAGAAGCCAAAAGAGGTGACATGTGGTGTCATGGAGTAGATGCTGACAGGTAAAACTGCAGCACCAACTACAGACTTCACTTAGGAATGACATGTGGCCTGGCAGTGGAGGCACATGCCTTTAATCCCAGCACTCAGGAGGCAGGCAGATCGCTATGAGTTCAAGGCCAGCCTGGTCTACAAAGCTACACAGAGAAACCCTGTCTTGAGAAATCAATTTAAAAAAAAAAAAAAAAGAATGACCTGTCAATGTTGGTTCACCAACTGAAACAAATGTAGCATGCAGAAATGAGCTGTAACTCTGCTATGCTGATAGTAGATGGCACCGGGTGTCAGAACTCAGCTCAGTTTATCCATGAACCTGAAATGATTCCATAAAAGCCTACTGCAAAAGTAAATCAAACGATTTGAAAGACTATTTCTCTGATGGATGTGTACACACAACAAGTAAGTAAATGAAAGCATTCTGAACATTGTTAGTAATTAGAGATGTATAAATCAAAAGCCACAGTACCACTTCAGATTCCCTATGACAGGTATAACCAGAGTGACTGTGGGAAAGATTGACAAGGATGTGGAAGTACTGGAACATTATATATGATTAGCAGGATTACAAAAGTATACAGCTACTTTGCAAGGCAATTTAGCAGTTCCTCACTGCATGCAGGTAAAACTCCAAGAAACTTCAAATGTCCACAAGGAACTTGAGTACAAAGCTCATACCATTATTCACAATAGCAAAAGTAGGACACAAGCCAAATGGCTGGAAAGGATGAACAAATATATGAAAAGTGGTGTCCATTCAGGGAGTATTATTTGGCCCATATGAATGAAGTACTGAAACACACCATGACCTAGTTGACCCTTGAGGAAAGACATTGTGCTAAATAAGAGATGCCAGGAACATCTAGTCAATATAGTCTAGTTCTGTTTATATGAACTATACAGAATTGCCAATCCCATAGAGCCATAACATAGACTAGTGGTCCCTAAGGGCTGGACACAAGAGGCAGTATTGGGAGGTTGTGAAGGATATTCTTGGTTGTCAATTTGGCTACATCTATGTTTAACTAAAACTCTAATGGCTGGGTATAGCTGTGAGGGCTTTTTAAAAAAAAAAAAAAAAAAAAAAAAAAAAAAAAAAAATTTCGAAGTGGAAAGATCTTTGCCGTAGGAAGATCCACCTTTAATCTGGGCCACACCTTCTGATAGACATGGATGAAGGAAGCTTGCTATCATTTTGCTGGCTTGCTTTTTTGCTCATGCTATCAAGTCCATTTCTTCACTAGTATTGGAGCCTATTTCTGCAGGTTTCCAGCATATACTGAAGACCACCTAGACATCCAGCCTTATGAACTAAACAACTGCTGGGATTTTGGATCTTCCACTGGTAATCAGCAATTGTTAGACTAGCTGGACCACAGCCTGTAAGTCAGTCTAATAAATCCCCTTTATATGGATAGATGGTAGGTGATAGATAAGTCATTCTACAAGTTCTGTTCTCTAGAGCAGTGGTTCTCTTTGGGGTCAAATGGCCATTTCAAGTGGTCTCCTAAGACCATCAGAAAACACAGATATTTACATTACAATTCATAACAGTAGCAAAATTACAGTTATAAAGTAGCAATGAAAATAATTGTTATGGTTGGGGTCACCACAACATGAAGAACTGTATTAAAAAGCCACAGTTTTAAGAAGGTTGAGAATCACTGCTCTAGAGCAGCCTGACTAATACAGGGCTGCTGATTGCTACTAGGTACATTAGCACGTTTGAGGAGGATAATAAAATATTCTAGAGTTAGTGGGGACATGCCGTGTAATTTGTTATGTCTTTTTATTTGGTTGGTTGGTTTCCTGGTTTTTGAAGACAGAGTTTCTCTGTGTAGTCCTGGCTGTCCTGAAACTCACTTTGTAGCCCAGGCTGGCCTCAAACTCAGAGATCTGCCTGCCTCTGCTTCCCAAATGCAAGGATTAAATGTGTGCATCACCACCACCCAACTTGTTATGCTTTTAAAAGGGGAGAATTTTATGAATAATAGCTCTACTAACTTTCTGTCTGAAAAAGAAGAATAAGAGGGGAGGAAAGAGGAGGAAGATGACAGTCCAACTTAGGAACCTGAAACCCTGAACATTCAGGTTGGGGATAATATCCTAATTGGGGAAAATGCTTCTCTACTTGCTTGGGTTTTGTTTTGCTTTTATTTGTATAAATTTATTTACTTTGTGCGTATGAGTGTTTGCACGTACACACACACACACACACACACACACACACACACACACACACGCCTAGTACCCACGGAGGTAAGAAGAGGGCACTGCATCTCCTGGAACTGGAGTTACAAATGTTTGTGTGCCACAGTGTGGGTGCTGAAACGCGAACCTGGGTCTTCTGTAAGAATAACAAGTGCTTATAGTCCACTGAGCTCCCTCTCCAGCTACCCCCCAACTAACCCACTGAGCTCTCCCCAGACACCCCCCACACACAACTAACCCACTGAGTTCCCTCTCCAGTCATCTCCCCACTTGCTTTTTGTTGGCAGAACAAAACATGACTTTGCTTAATGTTGTGTGATGCCTGTGGCCAGGGCCACTATCACCACTACAGATGGACACTGATCTGGGATGTAGGAGTGTGAATGGCAAAAGTGTTGGGTGATAATAAGAAAAGAATCAAGTTCATTAACTTACTAGATCCCTCCTTTCAGCATGCGTGCAGCTGAGGCTACAGGAGTGGAGTATTGTTTCCCTAGAGAGGATATGGTACCAATTTTCGTATGTCTCTTCCTGTTCCCATTTAGAGACCAAGAGACATTTCCAAACTACACAGTATTTATTATGGCTGCCCCAGAAACAAATTTTTCACACCGCTATATAGCTCATATTATTTTATATTTATGTGTGATTCTAGAAGTTTTATATTGATTCTTGTCAGTATTGTATTTAAGAGATGGTGAAAATGCCCCCTAAAACTAATAGTTTATAGGATTAAAATGTTTGTTTTCTGCAGCAATAGTATATGACCCCATTATTTTTTAGCATGATATATAAATTTCATGGTTTGTTTACAAATCTGATTAAGCAGAATAAAGCTCTGATTTTTTTTTTTTTTTTTTTTTTTTTTTGGTTTTTCAAGACAGTGTCTCTCTGTGTAACAGCCTTGGCTGTCCTGAAACTAGTAGCTCTGTAGACCAGGTTGGCCTGGAACTCACAGAGATCCTCCTGCCTCTGCCTCCCAAGTGCTGGGATTAAAAGCATACACCACCACCACCCAGCTAAGCTCTGATTTTTAAATACTATCACAGAACTACAATGATTCAAAAGTTTTTTTATTTGATGTCAATAGAATGACTACATGAAAATCTTACTTGTAATAACACAATTTATGGTTTTACTGAATGATGAGAAAAGCAAATCTTATAGAAACTACATAATAATTTATAAACTCAAATAGGTCATTGTTTTATTACCCGTCCAAATATCACCAGCTCAGTGAATGCCAAAGCATGAGAAAAGATAATAGAATTTAGAAATATTCAGTGGTTTTTTTTTTTTGCCAACTTTCACTTTACAATTCAGCTTTATGTATGGTTTCACTCACCTGGTTTTGAGCATACTTTTTATGCATAGTTCTCCCACAGGCTATCCTGGCCTTGATGCTTAGAAAGGAAACAAGGGATTAACTTCCCTGGCAAGGATATTACGGTACTCAAAGTAGTTTATAGAGACGTTACCCTCCTTACCACCTTACCCCATGCTTCTTTCTGGCCTCAGCCCTTTGGCCTCCAGCTTTGCATTCCTCCCATCCCTTCCCACAAGAACCCTTCTGCCTTCAAAGGGCAATATCTGTGTCTGTGTGTGTGTGTGTGTGTGTGTGTGTGTGTGTGTGTGTGCGCGCGCATGCGTGCATGTGGCTTTTACTTTAAATCATACTCACCCCTGCCTTTGTTGCAGAGTCCTCATTATTTTCTTCATTCTGGTGATCTTTTTAGATACTGCCGTAATTTCTTGCTCTCTGTCCCTTATACTTACTTTTTACATGACTACTAGACAACTGAAAGTAACAAGACAGCAATATATTCTATGACACTGTTTCTCTCCCCCTTCCCTCTCTCCTTCCTTCCATTTCTTCCTCTATCTCGTCTCTGTTTGCTGCCTTCCAGTTGTACATCATTTTCATCAGCCTGCTGCTACCTTGTCAACATTTTTATCAGAAGCATATCCAGTCCC